CGGGCAGCGCTTCTGCAGCCGCTCCCCGGGGCCCTAGCGCCGCCCACCCGCCGCCCCGCCTACCCTCGGAGGGGCGCGCCCTCCCCCCGGGCGCGGCCTGCGGTCTCCCCCCGCTGTCCCGCCCACGGCACCCCCCACGTCTTTGTGCTGCCACCCCCATAACTGACACCACCTCCCCACCTGTTTCCTTGCAGACCCACGTGCAGCAAGTACACCCTCTCAGCCCAGCTCTCCCTGTTCTCAGTCTCGTTGCCTGGAGTAGCTGTCAACCTGGGTAGCGCTTAGACAAACCCGGCTGAAGAGAGGGGCCACCTCCAGGGCAGGCGGGCATTACCCCCGACTGAAGGCGTGGGCCAGCAACAGGGCAGTGATGGTCCCTTGGGCTTCAGTGGCCCGTGCAACTCAGTGCCGTTTGGATTGAGCTCAGGAGAGACACCGAGCACCAGAGTCATATGAGGATGCTCTTCAAAGTGGACACTCCCACCTTTGGGGCTGGGGGGGTGGGGGCCAGGGCAGGTGGTGGGCTTGGAAACAGGACTCTATCAAGCAACCTTCATTTTCCCAAGAATGTGGTAACAAAACCACATTTGGAAAAAATACCAGCCTGTGTTTTCACCCAAATTTCCCTGGGTTCCAAGTGCCCCACCCTTCCACCAGGGTGGTTCCACTTTCATCTTGATAGCAAGATTCTGTGTTTAGATTTCTGCTAAAGGAATTAGAAATGTGCTGATGTAAGCCCACCCCATGAGGCTCAGAGAAGCGAGGGGCAGGTAGCCTGGGTTGAGGAGCAGCCCTTTCCCCCTTGGGTGGGCTCAGCAGGAGGTCAGACAGCCCCTCCCATCCCTTGGCAGGGCCTCATGGGCTGCGGAGGAGAATTCCTTTGATGGCAGAGCTGCCCCAGGTAGATGTGAGAGCCACAGTGGGGGTCTGGGGGGAGGCGGCATCAGGCAGGGTGTTGCCTGCCCTGAGAGTACATGTGCTGTGAATGTGGCCACAGCCCATGTGGGAAACCAGAAAATAAACTGTGTGGGAGAGAGAGAGGCTTGGATGACTGCGTGGGTGGGTATGAAAGGGAAAGAGCCGGGAAAAGGAAAGGAAGGAGGACAGAAAGTGGTTGGCACTGTACGTAGGTGTGTGATGGTGGGTGTGCAAGAGTGGATATGCCTGTCGGGGGGAATGTGCATGCAAGGGATATTTCAGTGTATGTGTGCAAGCAAGAGAGCATGGAGAAAAGAACTGCTTTTAAACCTGCATGTGAGCTTGTATGTTTTCAGGCGGACTGCAGCTGTGTGCAAATATGATATCCATCCACACGTGAAAGTTTGTCACACATGGATGGGGTTCTGTGGGAAGTGTGTGCCAGTGTATATCCCATGCACAGATGTGTGGTTGTGTTAAGGACATGTGTGTGCCTGCATGCAGGTATGCACGTGCACACACCGGTCACTGCACAAGAACAGAGAGTGTTTGGGGATGTGTGAGTGTGTATGCACATGAGGCACATGTGAACTGTTGCATCCAGCACTTGGACACCATCACCCTCCTACTACGGTCACCTGGCATGGGGAGGAGGCAGGACGGCATCCTGCCCAGCCTCCCATTCTTTCTGCCCTCCCTCCCACCGCCCTGAGCACTGGGGTCCTTGTCCTCAGCCCAGTGTGCACTATTAGCTCTTATCTTGGGCCTGTGGCATGGCTCATCAGATAGCCCCATCTCCACCCACACCACAGAGACTTGAAACAATGACCACAGAGTTTAAAAGACCTTCAAATCGTCTAGCTACCCCAGGCCCCAAGAAATGAAGTGGAAGGAAGGTAGCACTCCCAGTATCCTAAAGGCCAATGATAGGTTGGATCAGGCCCCAGGTCCCCAGTGTATACAAGGAGGAGGGAATATGGCTCGGCAGGATCCCCCACCATCCCCCAGAGCCTGAACAACCTTTTCCCAGCCCCAGGTGGGTGGAAGAACACAGCCTGCTGTCTTGTCTCCATGGAGACGAGGCAGCTCAGAGGGGGATTGAAAGCCTGGGTCCATACCTCCCAAGGTTCAAATCCGGCTCCTCCACCCACAGGCCTGAGACTTGACAGCTCATTTAAATTCTTTGTGCCTTAGTTTCCTTGTATATAAAATAAATAAGTATGGAATTCATAGGGTTGTTTAGAGAATGAAATGAAGTAACCCATACAAGCATTTAGCCCGGTGCCTGGCAGTTGAACTGGGAGATAGAAGCCTGTGTTTCAGCCCTAACTTTGCCACCAACATGCTGTGTGACCTCCAATGGGTCACTTGCCATCTCTTCAGAATCTCTCTCAGTCTCTTGTTGAAAACACTTTTTGTGAGCCCTTCTAACTATGACAAGCTGAGACTGTGGGACAGCTGAAGTGGTGGCTCTGAGGCCCATCTAGTGCTGGCTGAGAACAGATCATGAGCCATACCTGACACTTGCCTCTCCAAATGTTTCCTCTCAAATTGGAAGTAGCTGATGGCAAGAAGCAAGACGTGGTGGCTGTTCACTTCAACTCTCTGCACCCCCTGACACTCCAACCTGGCAGGGACTCTGTTCTGCCCTCCTCAGCTAACATTCAGGCATTAGGGGGATGGCACCAGTACTACCCACCGCGACTAGTGGAACCCCAGGCAGAAGATGCTGACCCATACCTAAAACTGTCAGTGACACCCCAGAGAGAGAGGGGTAATTGAAGAAGCATAGGTGGAATTATCTGAAGACACTTCTGATCCTCTGCTGGTAATGGGGGGAAAGTTTAAAAAGGTGCCCTAATTAATAATCTGGCTGCTCCACATGGCTCTTCCCTCCAGAGACAAGGGACTCAGGCCACTTCTTTCCCAGAGGAGCAGAAATGCCAGTGTAGGCTCTGACCCAAGACCACCTAGATTTCTACTAACCTTCGAGACCCAGCTTCTTCCCTGCTTCTACCTCCAAGAAGTCTTCCCTGCCCACTCCATTCTCCTGAAGTCACTCCTGCCCCCTCTGTTTCTAGAAATGTTCAGGACAGAAATGGATGACCATATGCCTGGACATTAGAGAGAGAAGTGGACCCCATTGTGAGGCAAGAAGAATCTTATTTAAGCTCCAGCAATGTGACCTTAGGCAAACAATGTAAGTCTCTAACTCTCAGTCACTTCACCTGTAAAATAGGGAGAATAATAGCTGCCTTGAAAGTCTACAGTGAGATCCAGGAGAATGAGATGCTATGAAATGACCTAGCGCCATGTAAGAAATCAATATTCATTAAAGGGGGAGGGGGCCTTTCTCCCCCTCCACCATTGCCTTTGCACGCCAGGGTGTCAGCAAACACCTTCCCCTTATAACTCTGAATCAAATGACAGCTAAGAGTAGAGGCCCAAACTCAAAAGGCTGTGATTGGATCGTGGCTTAGCAACTTGCCAGCCCTGAGTCTGGGATAAGTAAGTCACTTATCTTCTCTGAGCCTCGGTCTTCTCATCTGTATAATGGACATAGTGATACTGTTCCTCGCGGGGACTGTTATGAGATAAAATGGGTAAAGCACTCAGCACAATGAACCTACCACACAAGTGCTTAACAAATAATAACTTGTATTGTCAAACTGATGACAATCATTTAGATTATCACCTATATCCCTCATACAATTATCTAGATTATTCTAGAATTTCCAAAACACTGCCACATCTAAGAACATGGCAACCTCACAGCAGCTCTATTAGGGAGATAGGGCTCATATTTTCATTTTATTTTCAGATGAAGAAATTGCTGGGGTTGGCTAGTCAGCATCAGGTCTAGAACAAGCAGGCATGTCTCCTGATCCCCAGCTATGGTCTATGAGGAGGTGGGAGCAGCCCTGGGGCTTCAGGCTCCCAGGGACCTACATTGGACTGATTCTGGTGTGAGGGCCAACCTCCAAGTTCAAGGTGGCTGGGCCCTCCCAGGCCCTCCTTCCTCCGCGGATGCATTGAAGGCCCCTTCCATTCCCTGCGTGACCCAAGCACGGCAGGAATGGTGACCATGGGAGGTGGCCAGAGCCTGGAGAGAATTATTTCAGAAAAGAGAGTGGGCGGATGCTGGTGAGATGCCAGCCAGGCGTCAGCGACGCCTGCAGAGAAATGAAATGTTTCTTCAGTTTCCTGACGCACAAGCCCTCCCAGGCCTGTGTCCCCCACACTCCCTGTACCCCCGGGATCTGCTGGCAGCAGCTCCCGCTCAGCTGAGCATGGCTCAGCTCATGTCCTCCGCATCTGGACCCACTTCAGTGTTTCCATGGGCCCGTGGTGGAGGTGATTCAGTGTGCGTTTCCCACCCTGCTCTGAGACTCCAACCACGTAGAAGAAAACTATTATTGTTTCTTCCTTCTTTCCATGCATTGCACACCCCCACTTGCTGTCCTCAGTTCTCCACTGTAGCCCAGGTGATATGGACCCTGCCTTGACTGGATATCAAGGCCAAGGGAGGGAACACAGGTTGAGCTCAGCCACCAACAGGCTAGGGGAGAAGAATCTTCCTCGCTCTGGGACTCAGTTCTCCCCTTCTCTGACTTGTAAAATTAGGTCTGAATTGGTTAAAGGCTCTAGTCTCTCCGTCAAAAGCTCCATGGAGGCGGTGACCAAGGCTGTTTTGCCCGGTGCTGTCTCCCAGGACCATTGGTATCTGGAGCAAGTGGGGATCCTGCCGCATCAGTGCTGGGGCCTCCACTGTCATTTGTTACCACAAGGGATTGAAGGACAAACAAGCATAAGAGATGGACTTTTTAAAAAACATAGCATGATAAAATGCCTCTCTCCTACTGCCCTTCTCACATGCCCTCTTTGGCAGGGAATAGCGTGGGCTTAGATGGGGCATAGCTGGACCCATACATACATATCAGCCTCTCCAGCTGCTAATCTGGGCGAGCCCATGGCACTGGGCTCGATAACATGCTGTGGGAAAACACGACCAAGAGCCCCAAGTTAAAGACTTGTGGGTCTCCTGTAAGTCTGGCAGTCCAGGGGAAAGGGACATGACTTACCTGGTTTCTGGGCAACCTTGGACCCGGGGTCAGATCTGGGGCTGGCTACCATCACTTGCCGGACCTTCACCAGGTCCCAGTCCTGGATGACCCTGTCTTCACGCTGGGGAGCCCCTTGTGTCTCTCTGGGGCAACTGGGTGGCTGGACATCCAGGGCTCTGGGCAGCTGTGGTGCCCCTTGGGTAGCTTGGCAGGCAAAGTTATCCTCTCTCCTGCTGGCCAACCTGTCTTCCTCCCGGTCCATGAGCCCTGCCTCACTCAGCAGGCCCTCCTCACCACCACTATCCTCAGCCTCCAGGGCCAGACACCTGTAGCTCCCATCAGGGATCCCGAAGGCGCAGGGAGCAGGCCTGCCTTCACTAGATCCGAGGGGTGGAGGTGGGAGGTGGGGGCCCAACATGGTGTCACCTCTGCTCAAAGATGCAGAGTTCCTGGGCCACCGTGGGAACTCTAGTCTCCGCTCCTTCCTTGGCTGAGTCACAGGGCTGAGGTGAGCTCCAGCTTCAGAGCCTTCCCGGGCTGGGCAGGGTGGTGGGCCTCCAAACCCTCCTTTGTAGCTTGTGTCTGGTCTGTGAAGATTATATCTGCACAGGGAAAAAGAGACAGCTCATTGGATGCTCCAGGCTGGATTACTGAGACCTGTATACCCTAAGGTGTTAGGGTGGCCCCGAGAACAGAGGGATTTGGGGCACAGGTTCCACATGTCCCCAGGAAAGTCCCAGGCTTCAGCCATTTAACACCCCAAATTTGTGTCATATCCTTATGCCACCTGACACTTTATTTGCTTAATTTGTTCCCTTAAATCAACTTTAAGTAACTTACTTCTATTTCTTTAGACTTACATTAAGCAATAATTTGCAGGAAAACCACAAGTATGTTGTGCTAAGTCATTTCCTTCCCCCCAATACACATTAAATAAATATCTAGCTATTTAAAAATACTTATCTGGGCACCGCCTAAAAGGAATTCTTTCACATGCCATCAAAGGTACATATGCCACAAGAATCACAGGAATAGCGGGTGTCGGGCACAAGACCAGGGCCAGGGGCCCCCTGAGAAGGCTGTGCGCCAAGGGAGACTGTGCGCTTTAGGGACAGGCTTTGCGTTCACGTGCCCTCTCTGAGCCTGGCCGTCCCCATCTGTAAAATGGGGCTGTAATATAGCAGTCCCCTCCCTCTTTGCCCATGGGATGCATTCCAAGAGCCCCAGAGGATGTCTATAATGGTGGATAGCATTGTTTTTTCCTATGCGTACATACCCACCTAGGATAAGGTTTAAGTTATTAATCAGCCACAGTAAGAAACTAACAACAATGACTAAGAAAATAGCACAATTATAAGACTCTATTGTAATAAAAGTTATATCCATGTGGTCTCTAGCTCTTAAAATATCTTTTGGATGTAATATTTTCAGAGTGCACTTGAAACAGCAGGAAGTGAAACCTCAATGGGGGGCCAGTGTACCCCCAGGTAGTGTGACCTTGGGGATTAAGTGAGAAAGTGCATGCAGGTGACTAAGCACAGTTTCTGGGATGAAACTTAATGCATGCAGGCTATTCTTTCAGTCCACAAGAATTTCTTGAGCTCCTATTATGTTTCAGACACTGTTAAAGGTGCTAGAGATACAGTGGGATAATGGCATGGCTAAAGATACAGTACTTTGGCTCACGAAGCCTTAAAATCTGGTGGGGGAGCTGTGAGTGAGAATCAGAACAATAGTAATAATAGTAGGATTATTTATATATGTTAACGAGCATGTTCCTCCAGGAGTGAGGGGATTGAGGCTTCCTGTGAGAGATGGAGGAGGGGATAGATGCGAGAGAAATTTGGGCGGAAGAGTTGGCCGGGCTGGGAGGCAGATGGAGGGTGGGTGTGGAGGAAGAGGGAGGAGTCTAGGATGCAGCCCAGGTTCGTTACTCTGGTGACAGCGTGATTTTGTTAATAGAGATCAGTAATAAATGGAAAAGAGCAGGTGTTCCGGGGATCAAGGAGAGGAGTTAGGTTGGGGGTTTCCGGGGGAAAGGAGCATAGTCTGCTCCATGCAGGACCTGGAGAGTTCCAGGCTGGAGACATAAGTGTGAGAATTGTTGGTGCAAGCATAGGGTGGGGGACAAGAACCCTCAGGGTGGGCAGGGAGAATCTAAGACGAAGCGATGGCTGATGACCATGGGAAGAAAGCTTGGAATTCCTAGATTTTGGTGAACAGTTCTGATTCCACTACTGTTGTGTGAACTTGGGCAAGTGTGAACTCTCTAAATCTTGTTACCCAATTGCAAAATGCAGAAAGAAGAACACACAGTGGCAAACCTGGCAGCCGTGAATCTGAGAATCACAGAAGCCTGTGGACTCTGCACCCTGCACTGACCTCAAGGCTGCACACCAGACCCCTCTGGCAGGGCCCAGACACCCCCACCCCAGGCTGGTCAAGGCCTTGGCTTTTGGTTGCAGCTGGGCCAGGAGAGACTGGCTGGCAAAGGGAAAGGTAAGCGCATCGTCGGGTCTGAGGGAAATCAGCAGCAACCTGCGAAAGGCAAACGTGACAAAATCTGGAAGATAACAGCAGCTGGTACCACAAGCGCGGACATCAGTCCGAGGAGGCAGCCTTTGCCTGGGGAAGAGCAGGCGCTCAGATACAGAACACCCACACCCGGGCAGTGTTCCACACTTAGAATTATTGCAATAAATCCTCATAGCACTACAAGGAGGGTACGCATTTCAGAGGTTAAGGACCTCGAGGCTCAGTTAGGCATAGTGACTTAGGGCCTAACTCACACTCCTGGTAGGAGACAGGCCGGGCAGGCGGTCCTGACTCTGCAGCCAGGATCGGAGTCTCAAAGGCACTTGAGAGATGGCTCCAGGGCCCTATTCCTGTCCAAATTCTTTCTCACTCACCAGCTGTTGCCAGATTTCTGCCATTAGAGTTTCAAAGAATCTCAAAATCTCACAAAGGCCAGCAGAATTCAAGAGACCTAGATGTGTGCAGAGCCCGAGCCCGCAGACTTCTACACCCCAAAGAGCAAGGGTGGGGTTGAGTCAGACAATGCAGGAGGGTCTGGCCAGCCCTGGTGTTGCAGGATGCATGATTCAAAGCCCTTGGAGGGCCCCCTTCCCCCTCTGTCCCATCCGATGCACCCCCATACGGCCAGATGGCAGGAGGCAGAAAGAGGGGGTGTGGGGGCAGGGCTCCTTCTGAAGCCCGGCAGGGGCCTCTCCTCCCTCTCTCCTGGCTTCTGTTTTGCTGTATTTGACGGTGGCCACGGTTTCCAGGAAAGAAGAGAGAGGCGGAAAAGTTAACTTTCCGCCACCCACACAAATATTTTTGGCCGGCGGCGCCTTGTCTTCACACTGCCAAGGCAAGAGGGAGGAGGGCTTGGCAGGAGCACTTTAAAGCACGTCTCCTTCTGAGGAGGGAGGACTCCCAACCCAGTCTGGGGCCCTTGGCTGGGAAGACTCACCCTGCTAGGAGCTCAGGGAGGAGGAGGGGGCCAGGACCATGACCATAATAAGAGCCCCCACTTACAGAGCATTACCAGGCCCTTTACCTAACACTTCTGTGGGACAGGTGTGTGGTCTGTCTACAAATGAGGAAACTGAGGCAAGAGAGGCAAATTCCACATCCAGAGGCGTGCAGGTTGTGAATGGAACTCCTGGGTCCTGGGCCGTAACCTTCCGCTCTCTGTGGCTACAGACTCTGACCCTCAGACCCCCCAAGTGGGCTGAGCTCAGGAACAGTGCACACTTGTGTGTGGGCACACCTCCACTGTGGGCCTATTCCAGTCTCAGCAGAGATGGGAGGGGCTCCCCCAAATTCACACCCCTCATGTGGCCACAGGCGGTAGGACATGTAACTGGGAAAGCTCGACTTACGGAGTCCAGCAAACCCACAGTCCTCATCCCAAAGACAGGAGCTCTGAGTCCAGAGAGGGGAGGGTTCGCTCAGGTCGTGCTGCAAGTCAGGTGCAGGCCTGGGTCCCCCGACGGTCAGCCTCCCCGCTCCCCCATGAGTCTAAGCAGGGCCCAGGGCAGTGTACAGTTCCTGCCCGTGCATCTGAGAACCTCCCGGGACATCCCGAGGGCTCCTTTGTTGTTGGCATCTACGTTGGGGGGCCTGGAGTAATTTAGCCTTGGGAGCTGCATGTCCCTTCTGCTGTTCCCTGTGTGATGGGGAAAGTGCACTTGCTTTGCAATCAGATCTGGGTTCAAATTCTAACTCTACCTTCAGTGGTAGCCTGACCTGGGGCAGATCTCCCCATCTTTCTAAATTTTGGGTTCACCACCTATAAAATGGCTCAAAATAGGGCCAAATGCACAGGGCTGTTGTCATTCAAAATACAGGCTCCTGCCTTCCCTGGGCAGCAAAGGGGGACACCTGCTGGGTGCTGCTCACCCCAATGACTCTGGCCTTGCCTGCCCGCCTGGCTTTCGGGCCTGAGCACTCAGTGTGCGCAGCCAGGTGAGTATAAAGCATGGCCTGGCCTCTCCCTGATTCCCATTGATCCGCAGTGTCCTTAGCCTGTTATGTGGCTGCAGAGAAATGTGAAGGGGGGCAGGCTGAGAACCAGTGCTGAAGTAGGTACATGGCAGGGGTCAGGGCTTGAGATTCTAGTGTTGGCTCCCACTTAGTCACTGAGTCCTGCTGGGGAAAATCAAGGATTTGAGTCTATAGGTGGAGAGGAGGGAAGCGGTCCAGGTAGATTAAACCCTCAATCCTCTGAGATCCTTCTGTCCCAGATATCTCTCTGTCCCAGATATGCCTGGCCACCTGACCTGCAGTCTCTCCCTGTCTCCATCCTACACTAGGTCTGGTCCATTTCCTGAAGGGCAGCTCTGACCATGTTTCTTCCCTGTTCAAGAACCCTCCATGGCTCCTCATTGCTCACAGAACAAAAAAAAGTAACAAACAAAGGGAAACGCAGGTGCCCGAATCGTGACTGAGGGTAGGAAGGAGGGCTTCTGGGGACAGCGACACTTCCATTGGCTTTGAAGGACTTTGACAGGAAGAGCTTCACATTCTGATGGATACAGCATACTCTGTTCATTAGGGCCCAGGGAAGGCAAGAAGGCAGGGTGATTCGGGGATAGATCCGGAGAACCGTATGGGCCCGGATAGGCTGAGACCCAGTTTGAGGGGTCGGAGGAGCAGAGGAGGAGAGGCAAGCAAGGAGGGAAGGTGGCCCAATTGTGACGGGTTTCACTTGCCTGGCACTTGGAGAGACGATGTTGGGGACAGCCTTGTCGGAGTGGGATGGGGTGACCAGAAGGCCCAGTACTGGGGTGCAAGGCCAGAACCGAAGGTGAGAGGCTGAAACAAGGCTGGCGTGCAGGAATCCTACGGGTGGAGCGTTTTAGAGCCGTTTCCTCACACCTGGCTCAGTGCCAGGCACATAGTAACAATAACAATGATAATCACTGATGTTTATGGAGTGTTTACTGTGTCAGGTGCTATTCCAGACACTCCGTGCGCACTAACTCATTTGAGCCTCATCACCACCCTGTAAGGAAGGTGCTATTATTAACCCCATTTTACAGATAAGGAAATGGAGCTTGCGTGACCTGCCAAGTTCAGACAGCTAGTGAGTGTCTGAGTCACGGTCATATCCTGACAGTCTAGCTCCAGATAACACTCCTATCCATGATGCTGTACTATCTCAATAGTGTAAGCAGCTACTGAATGAATGGATGAGTTAATGAATCAATAGGAGGGACGGTGGGAGGATGGCAAGATGGAAGGGAGAAGGGAGAGGGAGAAGATGATCCCAGTGCTTGGGACTTGGCCTCACACATAGCAGTCACTCGGGAAGTATTTATCTAGTAGAATAATGAATGTGACAGAGGAATTAAGTAAATGTATGACCTAGGGGTAAAAATGAAGGCACCCTGGGGGAAGAGGTAACTCAGACCTGGCCTGGATGGCTCAGTGTGCTCTGCCCCACCCCATTCTGCCCCACCCTGCTTGGCAGTACCTTGGCTTCAGGAGTGGGGTGGGGTCCTCAAGAAACTGAGCTGGGAATGTGTTTTCGCCTTGCTTTTCTCTCCCAAGATGGGAATGGGAGTCAAGGTGGGGCGGGGGCTTTCTTCCCCATAGTTTCTGAAAGGGAGTCTTCAGTCCCTCTAATTTTCTGGACCGGGAAGCGTGAAGAAGTCTGGCATTCACCATCACCTTGCTATGTGTTCCAGGAAGAGTGGCTTCCTTTCACTGGACCTCAGTTTGCCCAGTGCAGAAGACCTTGGGCAGAGGTGGAGAAGAAGGCTGGCAGCCAAGTTTGAAGTTAAGTCCCTCCTGGACCTGCCCTGTCCCTATACTTTTCAGGGGTAGAGTCCACATCAGGGGGATATGCAAGTATGACCCTGTGTTTTCAACCCCTCCCCCCAGACAACAATACAGAATGACCAACCCTGGCCTCGTGCCCTCTCATCTCAGCATCCAGCAAGCAGCTCTGACCTCTCCTCCCCTCCACTCACCCACTTCCCGGGCAGAAGGAGCCTGATGGCCATCGTAGGAAGCTAGGGGGAGCCCTGCAAGCATCCAGATACCATCCCTTGGTAAGAACCTGGAAAGAAGTCCTCAAGCTGGGTATGCCAGGTGGTCTTAAGAAAGAGGAGGGTCAGCCTGGCCTCAGCTCAGCCCTGTGATGACTGGGCAACTGACCCACTCCATTCTGCTGAATTTCAGTTGCCTGCTGGGTAGAATGGAGAGTCAGTTATTCACCTATTCAATTCATCCATTTGACACATATCCCTGAGGCCTGCGGCATGCTGTCCTCTATTTTAAGTGATGACAGTATACAATGAACAAAAGAGAAAGAAATCCTGCCCACGAGCAGCTCAGATGTTGGCCAGGGTGGATGGACAATAAACAAATAAGAAAGTATGTTGGGTGGTGAGAGTGAGATGGAAAAATAATCAAGAACGAAAGGGGGAGTAGTGCTATGCGTCAGGAATATGTATTAATGTGGAAACCTTGACAGATGCCACTCTTTTGTGCATGGTATAGGTCTTTCCAGTGCACTATTATGTCAAATTCTCACATACAGTTATAAAATCAACAGTAGGTGGCAAACAGGATATGAGGCTTGCAAACCCCAGGGAGGTCTATTTCTCGGGCTAGTATTCCAATTGCTTGATTATTCATCATTCTAGAACCTTCATGTTTTGCTTTGAACATGCCTACCATTTAAGAGTGTTTGTTATCATCAGGCATATAAAAGTATGATGCCATATATTAGCATTACTTCTTCAAGAATGTTCTTTTCCAAATTCATTAAATTGATAGGGCATCTCCTCAATGTAAAACCCACGTCATACAATGGGCTTGAGGCTAATGGTAGTGATGTTATATATTTATTGTGAAGATTCAGTAAGACAAGACTTATCAGTGCTTAATAAGATGTGTCTGTGGTCATAATAATTATTATTTTTTTGTTAAGAGGTGACTGAAGAGTTACCACTTATTGGTCACCAATGCCTGTGCACTGGACGCTGTACAGGTACATCAATTATCATTTGTCTATTCCCCACAATACTCTTATGAGGCAGGCACCTGGTCTCTCCATTTAACAGATGAGGAAACCAAGGTTCTGGAAGGATGAGTCTCTGCTCATGGTCTTAGAGCTGAAAAACAACCAAGCTGGGACCTGGGGTGATCACTGGGTGTTCACTGAGGGTCCAGGGAGAGGGATGCTGGACAATGCAGTGGAACCTTCATTCTGGCCCTGGCTCTACCACTCCCTCTGTCACCTTTGCCATCTCCCTCCAATCCTGGGTCTTGGCTACCCCCAACCCCACATTTTCAGGGCTAAAATTTGGCTTTCCAAGTGCCCTTCCAGCTCTGGACTGCCCCTGATTCCCAGCACGAGAACACCGGGGACTGGAGCCCATTCCAAATGGAGTTGTCAAAGCCAGCCGGCCCACAGAATCAGCCAAGTCCCCTGAGCGTCACATCTATTTCTGCCACGCTGGGTTTATAAATATGTGGGCCAGGGAACCAGCTTTGGAGGGCCTGAGGAAACTGAAATCATGGCTATTAATAAAGAACTAAGGCTGGCTGGGGCCCTGGAGGTGTGTGGCGGGGCCAAGACCAGTGTGGAAAACCATAAGCCGGGGTTGCATGCAGCCCAGTTTCCTCCTGGACATACAAGAAAATGGAGACCAGAGAGCAGGGACTTGCCCTGAGCCACCTGGGGCCACAGTGGTCAGAGGTGGCCAGCACCCCAGGGCCCTGGCTGAATGGAGGCCGCTCTTGGCGCCACCTATTGCTCACGCTCACAAGTGCCCCAGCCCTGCCCAGAGGCTAGTGGGGTCTGAACAGGAGCGTGATAATATGCTTTAAGATTATAAAATCCTCTTTTATTGATAACATACTGCTTTTTATCTCTTGGCTACATCGGAGCTCTCAAATTTTTTGAGAAAGTTTCTTTGATTCAATATTTCAAAAGTTGCTAGTAGCT